ATATATATATATATATATATATATATATATGTACATATATGTACATATATGATTGCATTATTCTTTTATTATTTGTGATGTGATGTTTATTTTATTCATTCATTAAAAGAAAAAAAAACATAAAACCTGTGCAGCTGACAAGTGAAATTTTGAATAAAAGAAAAGTAGCACAAAGAAGTAAAAAACTTATATATGCCCCCATTTTCAAGTAATACTTCAATTCAACTCAGATAATTATAACCATACAGAAAACAAACACACCTTGTTCATAAAAACGAGCAACAGCAACAGAAAAAAACTATACATCAGCCTATCCACTGATAATCAACTCATCAAAATGACCTTTTATTAAGCATAAAATAAGCTTCAGCTTGCTTTAACTCACTAATAAGCTTATTTCACAAATCAACACATTGCGTAGAAATACATCTTTCCATCATTCCTGTTCTGTACCAGGATTTTTTGAAAATATCTCTTCCTTTTCAGCTATACTCACTTTATCTTTTAGAAAATCTTTTTCAAATATTGTTTGGTGGACCTTTTTTATGTGCCTTATACATGATTTTTGACTCATTAAGTTTTAATGTATTCAACTTAACATGTATCTGATTTGTGTGATTTCTGTATCCACTTCTACTTATAACTCCTATGGCTCCGTTATTAAGTAAAAATATCAATTATTAATTTATTTTACTCACTTTTGTCAACACTTTCACTATAATTACACTACAGCTGAAGCTCTTTTGAGTTTGCCTCTATTAGCCTTGCAAATCCAGAGACTGAAGATGTATCCTTTTTTTTCATAGTTTAAACTCAGTCAAACTGGATATGACAGCATAAGACTTATGTCTGGCCTTTAGCTGGGTCATTCTAACACATGATTATGCTTCGATCTAAACCACTCCACTGTACGCTGGCTGCATAACTGTCATGCTAAAAAGTGAGCCTTGTCTCATTTTAAAGTAAAGGCTTAAATATGTTTTCTCTCTGAATTGCAGTGCAAGTAACACCACCTGTCAGCCCAATCAACTCCAATCAGTTTCCCTATACTGTTAAAATCAAAACAGCATAATGATTTCCTTGTCATTTTCATCATGTTTTCACCAATTAGCTTTTCTTTCAATATAAAGGATTGACCATAGCAACTTATATTATATTTTCTGTGAAAAACTGGACTTCTTATGGATCTCTTTTTTGTCTTCATATTACCTTAAGGTTATATGTGCTGAGTCACAACTTTTAGTTCAGTTGTACTACAGTACTCATATATAAATCTTTAAATATATTCTAAAAATTCAATCCGTGCTGCTGAAGGAGGGATAAGCGGATCTTTACCCCATGGTCATGTTTACATGTCAATACGAGAAATTCTCTCACCTCAGAGTCTAAGAGTTGTTAGTAGAAATACTGTATAAAAAAAAAAAAATAAGCAGAAGCATGCAGGCACTGCTCTTATTTAGCCCAGACAGACCATTAAAATTGTTAGAATATGCTTGATATGTTCTGTAGTGAGAGAATAATCCCATGTGAAGCAGCTGCACAGCTCAAGTTGATTACTAGAGCTACCTCACAGGTGTTCCTGAATCTCTTCCTTGACCACTTCATCCCCTCCTGTTCCACAGATAGCAATATGAAGTCATAGCTGGACAGCCATAACTTGAACGACGGCCTTATAGTGCAACTCTGAGCAAAATTCTATAACCTAAACTGCTTTAAACTTTAACACTGTTGAAGAACGTCGTTTTTTAAAAGAGTTTATTTACCCATTGGTTTAAATTCTTGAAGGAAATTTGATGCACACGATTTTGCATTGGGTTATTAAAGTTAAGAGGAGTGATTAGAAAAGCCTATCAAATGTTTCAGATTTTTATTATTAATCAAAATTTTAAAAACCTGTGAATTATTTCCACTTTTTTTGTTCTGTTAGCAAAGATCACTTACGTTTGTGGTTGTAATGCGACATAAGTTCCAAAAGGTCACAGTGTGCTGACCTTTGCTATAACTGATGCTTGTTAGAACACAGCAAAAGGGAAGTAAAGATTGCTGATTTTTTTGTGTGCCATTCTTACCTTCCACATGCTGGCATCTTTGCCATAGACAACAGCCATGTTGTTGACTTTGTTCCTCTGAATAAACATCCTCTCAGTCTCATTCAGTTCCTCTGCCACAAAACCCATAAAAGAGTTGTCTGGAGTGTGGGCTGCCAAGGACAAACACAGTAATTGCTAATAGATGGCACAAAACCCATTTCATGTCTCAGTAAATACAGATGTTCCTTATAATTTAGTTTGAAATAAAATAAAGCTACAGCAAGGCTTCATAGAGCAGAAGGTTGAAATGTTCTTTGACTAGTTTCATTATACAATCATCTGAAAACAGAGGAGCACAAAGGTTTTTGCTTTTTTTATGCAGGGTCCAGAAGCTGTTATAGTTCATGAAGTTCAGAAATTCAACAACCTGCCGCAGTTGTTAGGTTCGGTGAAATGAAACAACCCTGAATCATAGCAAACAAAAAATAACTCAAACAGAACAGATGAGAGAAGTCAAAAAGAAACATTTTGCATCAAGATCCCCACCAGTGATGATGGTGGAAATTTCTCAGCAATCGTCTCGATGATAACTGTAATTTGGAGAGAGTGTTGAAGCTTGTTGTTCCAGAATAAATTGGAGACAACCTGAAGTTTTGAATCCCCGGGGCTTGACTAAATCTATTATGAATGTCTGCAGTTGGTGTTTTTTTGTATATTTCTGCGTGATTGCGGCCAGAAGAAGGGAGCTGCAGGCATCTGTGCCGACCCAGCTGTTCTGATTGAACTCTCTGGCTGGTGGCTGTTAGACTGAAAAAAAAAAACCAACTCTTTAAAAAAAATTGGGGGCTAAATAACTGCTGTAAGATCCAATTGGAGGCAAATTCATAGATATATGTAAAAAGTTTCAAATAAAAAATGTACACCTTTTTGTTGTTAAAATTATCAGTTAAATTTATCAGTTAAATAAACACTGTAACGTTTAAAGCATAGCATATAGAAATGCAAATTTGTAATGCATATTTTTGGGCTTCCTACACACTGTAATTCCATTCTGTTTTTTTTTTGTGTGTGTGTGCATATAGTACGTAAGAACAGAGGGGAAACAGATATGCTGTAAGCAATACCGCTTTTTGACCAAGTTAATCATGTTGATGTTTTTTAATTTTGTTCCTTTATTAAACATCATAACATCATATTATCTGGTACTGCGCACGTTTCAATACATTTTTTGTAGACTGATTTTCAAAGTGGTACAGAAGAAACTAAAGGAGTTGGAGTGCCGCTACACTTGCAGGAAGGTGAATATTTGTTCAGAGGCCAAAAAATGCCTCCTGCAGGCTCTCAGCCGCATAATGTTTGTGAGCAAACTGTCTAATAATGAATCTCATTGATGATTGGGGATGTCAGCCAAATATCTAGAGAATGAGGACAAGAAGGTCTGAGCAAGTTAGTGCAAGAGTCTACAATTATTAAGAGTTGTTCTATTATCTGTTTTATAATCTGCTTTCACATTAATTAACATGCACATTATTTCAAACTAAACCTGGCCCATAGCTTGGAATGTGAAGATTTGATGCACTTTACACTCACAGTCTTCTCTACAATCAGAGCAGCACAAATCAAATCTAACATCTGTCCGCTTCTACTCATCTTAATAACTTTGTGATTTTACAATATTCAGCCGGCATTAGTTGATACTGTATTTGATAGGTTTGTTGACGAGATATTCTGTATGTCTTAAACATTGTAAGACCAAAGTAAAAGAAAAAAAGGCATAAACATACGGAACATGGTCATGTACTGTTGGCCATGAAGGTTCCAGTAGCCCCAGTTGGTTCTGTAGCCGTGAAGAGTGGCATATTCCTCGTGGTTGTAAGCAGGCTCTGTGCCGAAGGTGTCAATCACCCGAATATGGCATCTGAGATGTAACAGAAAAAGGGAAAATTCTCTCTGTTATTGAAATGAATCCCAGAAATGAACCGATACAAGGTTATGTTCTAAAAACTGTTTTTCTTTGTCAAAACAATAATTTGCATCAATATTTCACTGCTTATAAGTGAAAATTATTTAGTCAAGAAGGTCAGAAATAAATTGACGTGAGTTAATCTGACGAGATTTATCAGAGTTCAGGGTTAATTCTCTAAAGTTATTATAAGTGTGAAGGATTTATGGTTTATTTGATATATGTGCAGTAGTTGCTGTTGTTATTGAAATACCTCCTCTATTCAACTACTTTTTTTTTTGCTTGAAATCTCATTTTTTTTAGGGATATATTTAAGCAGCCAATTAGTAAATATCTTATTTTCCATCACCACCTTTAATCAACGTACTGCCAACAATATAACAAAGTGATCATAATGAGTTTTTGTATTCCTCCAGTTTCAGTCAGTTTCTGGTATCACTATGTATTTGGAAAGAATCCCAAACTGGAAACTATGATGAAAAATGAAACAGGATTTTCACATTTTATTTCCAATGTTAATATATGATCAATTGGATAGTTGAAAGATTAGCGGACACAAATATCCTTGACAATAAGAATAAGCCAAAGGCCACATTTGACAGTCTGCGACCTCTGCTGTACCTGGAAAAGTTTTACAGAGCTGAAAGGAAATAAGCAATAGCCCTAAATCAGGAGCGTGTGAGATGCAATACTGAAATCAGATGTTGCTCTCCAGCCCCTTTGCTGTACTTCTCTGTAACTCCAACCACTCTCTAAATGAAAGCTAATACCATTTATATGTAGGTGGCAGACATAGGTTTACAATCAAAAGGGCCACTGATTGTGGTCAAATTCAAGATGAAGCAAAGAAAGTAGAGGGAATACACATCAATACTGTGGGCAATATCTTCAGGTTCACCAGAAAGGAAACATCACAACAAGCTGTCTGATGAAAGCTCAACATAAAGGCTTACAGAAAGTCAACCAATACAGATCAATAACTTCTGTTTTGCTCTGAATGTCCTCTGAAACACAAACCTTCTGTCAATAAACCCAACTCCAATGACCGGAACATGTCCTAAAGCAGGCATCCCCAAAGTCGGTCCTCGAGGGCCGATGTCCTGCAGGTTTTAAAGGTTTCCCTGCTCCAGCACAGCTGATTTACATTGATAGTTTATTAACAGGCTTTTGCTGAACTGCATTCATCAGAATCAGCTGTGCTAAAGCAGAGAAACCTCTAAATCTTGCGGAAAGGGGGCCTTGGGGGCCCACTTTTGGGATTGCTGTCCTAAAGGACACATACCTCTTCTCCAAACCTGTGGATGTCCTGACTGGTTTTGGGTCAAGGCAGCACAAAATCCTCTAATGAACCAATTACTGTAAATACAAAAACATAGTTATGGTCATCCCTCTGTGGGAACACCTACTGTAAATAACTGAGAAGGATGATAATTGAAGAAGATTGGTTAATTCTAAGGAAAATTCCCAAACACAAACTGATCAGCATTATGTATCCAGTTCAGAGCAGAAAAAACTTTTAGGTTGGAGAAACTAAACAACCTGTCAAAGGACGCATGGCCAAACATGGGAGAGCCAACTCCTCAGGACAGATCCGCTGGGCACCTACACTTGTAGGATTAGGAACAGACTTCTCAGGGTTAAAAATATTTCACAGATGTGATACTAGATGGTGTAAAAGAGGAGTGCAGGAAACCATTTAGGTAAATAAAATATAACACAAAACAGAGAAGGAAGCCTCAGATTTAAGCTTTTAAAAACACACAATTCACCATTGAAGCTAAAGCTCAGCCCATTTCAAACCAGTTCAACACTTTGTACATGAAACCAAACATCTCTCAGTGAGGAAGGCTATTGACCAACAATGCCCTCTAGTTATCAGTCAAATCTGCATGTTAATTTAGATCTGCAGCTTAGAAGCTTTCCAACAGCTTAAAAGCTTGAAACGTCTGCCTTTTTCAAATTAAGTCTTTGGAGGAAGGCTAAACCATATTCAACCGCAAATACTTAAGTACAGTTGTCTTTTGTTTTTAAAGCCTTTTCTGGAGTGTTAAAGCTCAAATATGTATAAAAAGTTGCACAGAACAATAACATCAGGAAATGTCACTGGTTTGGTGGATTTTATTGACCAAAAAACAATAAAACATTACAAAAAAATTAAAATTATATTTTATGTAAAATATCCCTTTTCTTATATTTAGACAAAGCAAAGTATTTTTTTTTAAATAGTTCATTTCTTTTTGCATCTAAGTTAGTTTTCCATATATGATTCAATATCAGGCAAATTCTAGGATTTGATGACAAAAGCATTATACATTAAATTTGGCTGCAATAACTTGTTTTTTACACAAACACCAGAAGAAGAGACACAATAGATGTAAAACAGAGGGCAAATGATAAGTTAGAAATGCCTTTCAATTGGTGGATGACTTTAGGACCAAAGTGTAGCACAAAAGATAAGGATATTGGTGTACTGGATTATTTCTTAGCTGTTTATAGAAAAATATAAACCCATTATTTTTTTCATTTCTTTCTTTACATGGTCATAATATTTTTAATCAAAATATACTTTGGATTGTGTTCATGAATGTTTTACCAGGGGACACGCATTGACATCTAAAAGGATAGAGTTCAATCCATGAGACTCGAGATATGATTTTTTCATTATTGGCAGAGGCTCATGCACATATTCTCCTTTGAGACTGCCTGCCTCCAATGATGACACACCGTAAGTTTTCAAGTATGAGAGATGTTGCATCAGGCCATGACATTGCTGTTTGCCATCAACTGAGAGGACTTGGCAACCTTTTTAACCAACAGATATTTTCTCCTTACAGATATGGCACATTTAAAGTGTAAATATGCAAGTTTTTAACAATATAAGATTTATTATTAAATTGAAAAACCTTACCAAACACACATTTTCCTACTTCTTTTTAGGCTAAGTATGTATTTTTTAGATTTATATCAGACATTATATAAAGGAAACTGTTCTCAGATATGCTTTAATTCTGCTCAGGTAATGACACATGTATTACTTATGTAACAGTTTAGAGCTTTTCTACTATTTTTGTGATATGTTAATACATTGCTAGATGTTTAACTAATTTGTTTCTAATGATAGATAATACATTTGACTGCTATTTGGCTTTAAATGCCCAGCAGTGTAATAAAACCAATATTGTAAACTTTCTGCATTTAGTGAAGAGCTATTAGAAATAAACTGAAGTGGACTAACTTGTGCTTCCTCAGAGAAAGACCCAAGTGCTGCTTCATTTGCTGTAGTCCGTGGTAATCAGTGTACATGAGGTCAAACGGTAAAGGTCCTGTCAGGGGGCAGCTTCCTCTTCCAGGTGGAACACCTAAAAACCTGTAGAGAGATCAGATTTGGTATAATTGTTATGTGGCTTATCAAGGCATCAACCTTTATACAATATGTTAAGGTTTGATTTGATTTTTTACTTGTCCCTTCAGATCAATAAATAAACCCAAGAGAATTTTTTTCCCTCAAATATCGTATTACACAGCTAATATGGAAACGGAAAAGTTAGCTTTAGCAGTAATGAGGTGTGCATGTAAAGCATCTACACAGGAAGAAGGAGTCCAATCAATAGTGCTCTACCTTTACTTCAGCAATATAAGACATTTTATCTAAATAAGGTGTCTCTCTGTTTTTCTTTATAGCTTGTTCAGATGATCACACCAAATACATGGATTATTTAAGCCTCACATTCACGTCTATTGAGAAAAGCTTGTATGATGAAAGAAATTGTTGTTTTTCAGAATAGTTTCAGCAGAATCTGTTTATGCTGTAACCAGCAAGAACATTCAAACCCTTTCAAGATGTTCCTCCTCTGGCTTATGCTAATTAGCTTTTATATGCAAATGTATGAATTCTGTGGATATTTACACAACTCTGTTATGTTCCACAACACCACCTCTGCCTTTTTTTCCCCAAGCCCCAGGTTCAGGAATCTGATGACTGCAAAACACATAAAGAATGATTTTCTAAAATAAAAGCTGAAGTCGTTATTTAGGATTTAGCTTTTAATAAACCTGTGGGAATGGGTTTAACATATCACTCCAAATCAATAAATAATTTAAATTAAAGATCCAATTACATTAATGCAATGGAAAAATATTTCATATCAAACATATGCCTTTAAAAGGCACTAGAATAAAGTAAACAGCTAATCCTTTTTCTAATTATGTTTTTTTAATGAAAATAATGTTTTCAACATAAATGACTGATGTCCGTAAAAGCTTAAAAATAAAATGATCCTGTTTTATTGGAGTTGTTAATAATAGTTAGATGAGCAGATGATGTCAATTTATAATGATTACTTGTGCTTTGAACTGAATTGACAGACTTTGTGATCAACAAAATATTGTATTTTATGTAAACAAATCAATATACCATATAATGATAAAGCTGTTGGTTTACACCCTTACCTATTTATAGAAATATCATGTTATTGTAACAGTGTATTGGGATATCAGGAAACCAGAGGTAAGACTGACTAGAATACACTTGAATGAAGTTCATGTATAAAGTCAACGAAGATCCAAGAAAAGCAATTGTTATTTTCTTGATAAAGTAATTCAAATTCACTTAAACAATAAACAACCTTACTTTACTCAATAAAGCAGATGTAGATTTCTCAGATCTAGCTGAGGGAAATGTTGGGACACACTACGCACTAATAGTTAGTTTTACTTATCTTGCTGAAATACCTTCAAGGTGTAACTTGCATTTATCTATTAGTTTCTAACATCAGTCCAACTAAATTGAAGTGAACATTTGATCCTTGTTTGATTTTGATTCCTAGGGATGGTTCTCCCAAAATCTAATAGTTTACATTTTTTGTTTGGGAATTTGGTAGCAGACCCCGTTATATCAGCAGATTAAGTCATGGAGTTATGTCAGATCAAGTCATATTGCTATTAGCTTATTTAGCTGTTATACAACTTATCTATACACTTATCCTATATATATATATATATATATATATATATATATATATATATATATATATATATATATATATATATATAT